CAACCCCATAGGATGGGCTGGTCATATTGCGAGAAGGGATTGATGAGAAGTGAGGGATGAACAACAGGAACGGCAAGAGTGGGCTCCCATGGAAACTTTTTTGCCTCAAGGATATCTGCTGCGATATGGGGATATGTGTTCATCGGCTACCTAAGGCGAGCGCAACCGAATGATTCTTCAAACTGTCATCTTCGTCGGCTCTGAAGTCAACTATAGATGGCGATTGCTAAAGACAGAAGCGAATGGTTTGTTGCTGGTGCTCAGATATGAACCGAAGAAAAGCCGTGTAAGTAAGTAAGTGTGATCACAACGATCATAATATCCTTTCTGTTTGTTCACAGATGGCGTTGAGTAGAGCTACTGGAGACTGCGGTAGACCTGCCCCGCTGTTAATGGATAAACCGGTAGTACACAGCAATATGAACTTAGATAGGCAATTCTGCGAGCTAAAGAGAAGGTTTGAAGACATAGAAAGTTATGGGTGCTTTACAAAGCAAGTCAAGGCCGCTATTTGGAACACTTATTCCAATAATGACTGGCTAGATGGAAATGGCCCTTTCCACAGTGAGGTTTGAGCTGCTATTTGATCCATTCCTCACAGCTGTAATGAACTCTGCGGAGTGAAACGATTTCAATAGCGAGGCAGGTGATGTTGTTGGTCTCTGAGGTTCTCATTGATCATTAAAAATCCGCTCCCGATCAAGGATTACAGTATCCTTTGTTTTGGAATAGTCGAACGCCGTAATCTATCTATAAAAACGCTTCAGCCATCCATTCAGTTCAAACGGAACCACAACTTTCACAATTCCTCTGTTTTTTTTTTCAAGAACAATTCATATTCTAAATACGTAACCATCTTCCTTACCGTTTCATTTCCAGATTCACTATTAATGAAGCGATTTACTCTCTGGCTTAGCAACAATTACTGCTATTATTTATAGTGCACATGGTAAGAAAAGTTAAACCATCTAGCTTATTGAATGGAATTGGAATAGTGTTGCCTTCTTTTCAGCACTCAACTGTCCACCAGCAGCTCCTCCACTTGGTGGAACAACTTCGTTCACTGGAGAACCCAGAGAAGGATCCGTAGCTGTTGGAATGTGCCCGCTTGGTCAAATTATGAGCGGTAAGACAACTTGTTGTTTTCAGTTTTCGTTTAGGGAAATTTCAATGGTGGATCCTTGCTGTGAAATTCCGCTTCAACTCACAAATATGGGTAGTTCATCTTTTCTAGTGAGAAGACAGGCGAAAGCAAAGGTCAGAAATATTAGGGCAACCCAAAGCCCTTTTGAACACTGATTTTTTGAAGGGTTTGAATTAGAGGGGAGAAGGAGATGTAGTGGGACGCGACGCTGCATGTCAAGCTCATGGCGCGGAAGCGTAACAAAGGTCAAAGGGCATTACACGGGCTTGCGATAGGAAAATCTTTAAAAATGTACAATTCGAAAGCAGCAAGCATTCTATTTCAAACTAATGTGTAGGGCTAATTGCAATTCAAGATTAGGTTTTGGTAGAGAGAAGAGCGTGTGCGTATCACAGCGGGTCAACAAGATGGAATTGTCGCTTTACGAGTTTTTACGCTTTAGAACGCTGAAGCCCTGCGTGGCAATGAGCCCGTGTACGAAAATCGTCCGATTGAGGCACGGTACAACTTGTGACGGTCGATAGCTAATGAGCCCGATGCACTTGATGTCCCAGTTCTTCGAAGGCGGGCATTACGGAAAGATCATTGCCCACTGTGGAGGAAGATAGAGCTGGTAGAAGGTGCACCGGTTGAGAAAATTGCGAGAGAAGATCTGGAATGGATCCCAACTTTTCCAACTGAATTACACTAGGCAAAATTAGGGAAGGATTAGGAATGACGAGTTCGTGTTGTTTTAGACTCTACGTTCTCGAGCCAGCACTCGGCATCCATCTCATCACCCAGTTACATTCAGAATTTCTTGTAGGAGGCGGGCCAGACTAGGCCGTGCGCGGACGGTAAGGCTTGGGTTAGATTCGACGAGAGATCGGGACGAACCGTTCGCAGCGAGCTATTCTACTATTCTCTGGAGACCGCCCGCTTGGGTGCAATGGTGCAGAGCTCCTCCCTCCCCTTTTCGATGGTGTCTAGACAGTGAGGCCCTCGCGGCGGAAAATGGAGGTTTATATGGTTCAGCTGACAAGTTGGGCCCAGCGATAGCCGGCATGTGAGGGATACGAATATAGCGCAGCGCGTGCTGTGTGATGGTGGACGTACTATAGTACAATATGTCTCATCTAACGTCAAATCACTACAGTACGCGCTGGGGCTCGTCCGCTGACACGTCTGTGTCTCTGCCTTCTCTCCGCGCGACGGGCTTTCTGTGGAGTACCTAACTCCCTTCCCTCCCCCAGACCATTTTTGTAACATCCTCACTTTGAGGACGGTGAGTGTACAGACGCTTTCAAGACATAAGATAGCGACTTTTTGGAGACGGCCACCCTCTCATCGGGAACATCGGACACGATTCTAAGAATTGCTGGACAGGCCTAGCGAGTCGCTAGCACCGACGCTGACAACAATTTTGGCTTAGTGGAAACGAAATTGAAAGTGAGCTCATTGACGTCAGAACTATTCAAGGCGATCCACTGCGTCGACTCTCTCGAGCTTTTTTTATAACTACGACTCCACTTATTTGTCAAAGTCCAATCGAGCCTAGCATTTTCGTGCTTTGACCCGATGATAAGAATGGTGTAGAAAAATACGATAAGGTTGAACAACCCAAAGAGCCTTCACTACTATTATTTTCAGGCCCATCTACTATCACATGCACTAATGGAGCATGGACACCACTAGCATTTGGAATATGTACGCCGGCAGGAAGCGGCGGAGGTCTTGGGCTGCCGCCATCAGGAGGATTGGGTGGATTAGGTGGATTGGGAACTGGGATACCACCAGCGCTACCAGGACTCGGACTAGGAGCAGGGCTCGGAACCGGAAGTAAGATTGCATAATTTTTTTCATTGGATGTTGTCATACTTATAATTGATTACTTTTGATTCAGTGGGTGCTGCGCAGTGTGCACCAATGTTGGCACCAGCGGGCTCAACAATTTCGTATAGCAGCGGTGCAACGAGCTCTGGAATTCCACCATTGCAGGCCCATGGTTCCACTGCCACCATGAGATGCAATGACAACTCTCTTGTGTCAGGTGAGCCAAATGCGTGGTAGTGTTGTTGAATGCGTCGATGCAAAGGCAGTAGGGGCCCGAAAGCAGGTTATCTAAGAAAACGAATGATGAAGAGCCGAGATCACTGTTTAAAACGGCAACGTAGCTTCCATTATGCCTTCAAACAATGACAAAATTCACGATCTGGACGACCCCGTTTGAAATTTTATTTATGAACTGAAGCATGAGGAAATGTGCTCGAAATATAGGCGTGACGATATTCATGTGAAATGTGCCATGGAAGTGGAGCAGGGCTCAGCTGAAGTAACCAGCCCTTTTGGCGTTTCTACTGGGCTGTATGCTGAATGTTGTGGAGGGGATGGGGTCCCCGACGGTCGACGGACTATTTCAAATCGGTCCCTATTTGAATGCTTACTTCAGGTCCGCGCAACGAAGAGAGGACGGCTTGCGAGAGAGCGCAGGACCGCCTTCTCACCAAGGCTTAGTCCTGGTGTAAGCAAACCAGCCCTTTTGGCGGAGCTGCTGGACCTAGCTGCACCACTTCGTCATCACTCTCCTACCGTACCGACCGAGTTCAAGTAGTCCGTCGAGCTCGGGGACCCCATCCCCTCCCCAACATTCAGCATACGGCCCCACCAGAAGCACCAAAAGGGCTGGTTTGCTTATCTCGGCCCAGCTTACTCCCAAAACGTCCAAGTGTTCAAGTCTTAGTCTCTGAGCATATGTCCCCTATTTTCTTTTAGAGAGCTTTCCTAGGCACTTTTTTTTCCGGAGACTTTCCTGGCACTACATAGTCAGTCATATAAGCTTCATCCCCTACAGCTATATACCCCTCCAGCTTCATGCCAAACGAATATCCGAATATTCTCCCGCCGTGTCGTCTCTTTCGTCTGCATCTCTCATGCGGCTGCGCACTTTCTTCATCGGAAAGTCGTCCTACGCCGTCAAATCATCTACATTAAGAAGCGGACGCACAGTACTCGCCCTAAGAAATCAAAAATCCACCCAATGCCGCAATTTGTTTTTGTGAACTGTTCTGTCAAAAGCGGAGCTTGCGAATAAAGGGCAGCCCATTGCAAATTGAGTTGGAGTGGTCCGTGTTGCACGAAAAAAAGAAAAAGCGAGCAAATGTCTCAGAATTCGGGGAATGGGACTCTCCTCCATGCCTATAGATTCCCGCATCGATGCGTCTATCGTTGCTCCCCTCTCCAAGGCTAACGCTCTCTTTCGTTACGCCTCCCTCTCTTCGGCGGTTAAGCAGCGAGAGGGAGGCGTAACGCCCCTATCATGCATCAATAGCGCCACGGGGTCGGCCATGCTAGATATTTCCCTGGGCGTAGCCATGCCATAATAGATCGCCAGGGGAATGTCTTTCGCTGCAAACTGCGCGTAGGTCCGCACCCTCAGGGGCCCTCCCGCCTTTCTACTAGCTTTCTGTCTTCTCGCAGCTTTCCTCTTTTTCGAACTCCGACCTAATCGTACAATAATCAATGGGAGAGCAGTACAAACGAAGTGGACAACTCCCTTGATGAAGCGATGGAGAATGGCCTGTGATGGCTTATATATACTTGGGCCATAGCGACATATTGCTAATGTGGAACGTGCCACAACGAGCTAACCGTAGACGAACTGGTGCAGAAATGTATCTATTTCAGATTCACATTTTCACAGTTTCACTAGAGTACTGGTATCATGCAGTCGCGTATTCGCCTAATTTCAGGTGCGTCCGTGGCAACATGCCAAAATGGCCAGTGGCAGCCACCCATTATGGGGACGTGCAATAATAACAACAACAACCGTACGTCATTTGTTCACATCCACAGCAGTTCTACCGGTAGACTCAAAATTCAAGTACAGTAATTTTTTTTGCAGTCGGTTCACCTCAGACTCCTGGCATTGGAAACGTTGCTGGCGGCCTGGCAGGTACGCTTCCATGCCCCGTCGGTGTCATTCCGCCGCTAAATGGCAATGTCATCTACAGTGGAGTAGCACCGTACCCACAAGGAACAACAGCTACATTGACGTGCAACCCTGGATTCGTCGTTAGGGGCGAATCGACCGTCACATGTCAGAACGGACTCTTCGGTATCTTGGGAACGTGTGATAAGATCTCTCCATAAGGCAGCTTGAAGCCGCAATTCTTTGTAGTAACATTTTCTGTTAATAAATCGAACATATGTAGCCAAGCGTTTATTGTATAAGTCATTGTGGCCAACCTACATGGCTCTATACGTGAACAGCAGCAGCATTTACCCCGCCTAGCTTGATTCATTGATTCGTGCCCTCCTCATCAAGATGAGTAAGGCCGACGTCATGCTTTGCGATTCGATTAACGAATCGCTGGCGAATCGCTGGCGAGTCGCTAGCGAATCGAACGAATCGCTAATCGAATCGCAAAGTATGACGTCGGCCTAATACAGTATGATTCAGCATGTTGACACCAAAGCAGCGTTAACAGAAACTGTCTTTGCTAAGGACTTTTGCACTGTCGAGATAATAGGAAAATCACGGAATATGAGATTACAAAGGTCTCAGAAGCCTCACTGTTAACTTGGTTTTACTATTAGACAGAATATGGCTACTTCGCTATTTTCAATTCGAAAATTAAAAAAAATGCAGGATACTTGTTATAAACAGTTCTGACAAGCTCCATGTTGTTAAATTACCTTTTGTGATGAGCCGTGCATTCGTTTCTGGCCCAATATCTTACCAGGAAAATGTTTTGAAATTCCCATGGAACTTTGAAAGGAGACCTAGGTACATCGATAGAGTCTTGGACGCTGATTACAAATATGGACACTAAAACTGCTACGTGAACTTTGTAAGAAAGTTGTGAGCCTTAAAGTTGCAAAAAAAGAACGCTAATGATGAGGTGCAACCTATGTGGAAACACGGTTGCTTTTTGCCTGGAACTTGTTCTATAAGGGTAAATGGGTGCCCTGATTACGAATATGAGACTCTTTTTGGCGCTGACTGCAATTCCACCAGTTGAGCTCGTCTCAGTGACGTTTTGTGCGTGCTAACGTTGTAGGCTCATAACTTTCGACCGGATGGACGGAAATCACATTCGGGACAACCACCCGAATCAGAGATTTGCAGCAGTGACGACTTCAGGGATGGCTGGAACTGGGAGATGGTCCTGCAGCCCTGCCCTCTCTCACTTCCTCGATGATGGCCAACAACGCCATCAAAGAATAAAAGCGATGGCCTCTCAGCCATCGCTTCATTGTCTTTATAGTGGAGAAACAATCAGAAACACTGACTT